AGTCCCAGCTGTCTGTGGGGCTGCCTGTCGACAGAGGCACTGCTGCAGGGTCTGGGGGGATGCTCTTTGCCCTTACGAGGCTCCCCACCTCTCATGGAAATGTTCCAGATTCTCAACTTTGGGCTATTTCAAATCTCAGCCGTGCTGCAGCGTAACCAGTTGTGTGTGGGACTCCACTTACTGCTTGTTTGCCCTCTGCTCGTTGTGTGTGAGGAGGAAATCCTTGCGCGATGCAGTCATCCCCTCTTGTGTGCTCTGAGCGAGCCTGTCCTGGGAAGGCTCGGCTGCTCCAGCGGCAGGACACGAAGCAGCAGCTCGGTTGCTGTTTGAACCCATTAGGCAGAGGAGCAGCGACGCTGCCGGCGTCCCTCCGGCCCAGCTGAGCTGCGCAGGGCTGCTGTGGGGCGGCTGGGGGCTGGGGGGGCCTGCCGCCCCAGCCGAGCTGCGCAGGCCTGCTGTGGGGCGGCTGGGGGCTGGGGGTGCCTGCCGCGAGGCTGAGGATGCCCCAGGGCCCATGGGTGGCTTCAGCACACACTGCTCGTGGGACGGGAGCCCCGTCTCGCTGGGGATCCCGCTCCAGGTCTGAGCACTAAGGGCTGCTGTGGCCTCGTGTTTCCCCGTACAGCTGCAGAGTCGTTTTAAGCTGTCCAGTTTATGATGGCTTTTGTCTAAAATGTATTTAAAGCTTGTTCTTTCAGGTTGTAGTTCAGCTGTTGGTGCCTGAGCAATACCAGCTTTGTGTTGTGAGTACTTCTAGCAGTGGAGCCTCTTGAAATCAGAGCTTTGTATCAGCCTGGCTCAAGCCAAGATTAAATGAATTTGTGGGTAGAAAACACCCACTGGCTCGGGAAAGAGCGGGAGCCTCCTGCATTGCTGTTCTTGTTTTAAGATCTTCCTTAAACCCAGTCTCAACATGCTGTTCTTAGCCCTGTGCCTAGTGGATGGCCGCTCGTTCTGCGGGAGGCTTACACAAGGAAGTCCGTGCCCTTTTGACCAATTCCCTTGCTCCAGTCGGGGTTACACAATGTGCAGAAAAGGGAAGAATATTCCTGCTAGTTTGCAGCAGATGCCCCTGGTTTTCTTCCTTTTGCTCTGAGACCTTTGTTCTGCTCTCAGAGGAACCTGAAGCGTTGATGTGTAAACCCTCTGGATGCTGCTGAGGGCCCCTCAGATTTTTGGTGGCCTCTTCCACCCTCGTGGTGCAGCCCAAGCAGCAGGGACTGAGTAGGGAGCAGGGAGAGTGGGTACACACTGCCCTGAGTGGCACGGTATTGTCTTTAATAGCCGAGTACTCGCTTGTGTTGGTGTTTTTCTCGCCTGCTCTTACAAGTATTCTGTGACGGAGCTGTGATCTTTGAGTCGGTGGATGTCCTTTAAGCAGCGGCAAGGCTGGGGCACCTCCACTCGCTCTCGGTGCCGAGCCAGCTCATACCGAAAGTGCTGGCTAGCCAGCGAGCGGGCTGCCTGCGCACCACCGGCACCGCTCTCCCTGCCCGGGGCGTCCCACCGCCTAGAGCGCTGGCTCTGAATGTTGTTCATCAAAGTATAAACAGCTTCAGTACTTGAGCTGAGAAAGATCTTTAGCAGGCTTTGTAGCTCCCCCGGGAGCAGGTGGTAGGACCGTGTTGTGTTTTGTGGTGTTGGGAGTTTGGCTCCTGTGTCCCAAATGTTCCTTGTGCATTTTTCAGTTGATCTGACTGGACACTGGTAAAGTAAGCCAGCTTGGATTAACAAATATGTAACACGTGCAGTATCCGGGGGTTAAACCAAGCATTTGGTAGAGGTGATGTAGATTCAGTTCTACAGTGTCTGATTTAAATCCTAAATTTCTCCTTTTTAATGGGACCAGATGAACTATTAAGCAGCACTGAATTTGAGTTGAATTAGTTTGATTGCTTTTTTTAAGAGGCCAAATGTAAGTTGTACAGAGGAATAAACTTGCAGTGGGGATTTGAAAAGAATAAAATTTCATGTGTTCTTCTTTGCCTTTTGCAGAAATTGTTCCATTCAAATCCAAACTTTAGGCATTAACCCTTTCTGTGATTGGAAGTTGCTTCCTGTGGTGCAGATTCTGTTGTGGCACTGTTGCTAACGTGGGAGTGTTTAAAACACTCTTAAAAACAGGCAGGCTCGTACCACGTGGTGGAGATTAAAACGAGAACGTGTTTGTTTCTGCTCTGAAGGTCTGTCTCGCGTCACAAAATGCCTTTTGAGATCGTTGTGTTTGTGTTGCTGTGCAGGGCCGTGCGTCTGTGACTCTTTGGGGACTGAACTTCAAGAGCCCTTTTAGTCTCACGTGATATCAGGAGCTTCAGGCCTTTTCTAAGCCAAAATAAACACAGATGTTTCAAGCTGCAGAAGTTTGGGTGCATACCACGTTATCGTAATCAAGAATAATCCAGAACCACAGCATCAAGTGTATCTCATTTCGCATTACAGAGTCCTCGACCATTCGACCATCCAGCCTTCTCCAAGGTGATGACTCCTGTCTCCTGAGACGTTGGAAAACCTAGTTTGGAAGAAGAGTAAAGATACAGTTGATGCTGAACTACGTGAGTCCACAGATTATTTTGTTTACGATAACGCTGTTTGCACCAGCGATTCCTGTCCAGCTCGGATTGCACAATGGTCATTATCTCAGAGTTTCTGTGCAGTGGGGTTTCTCCAGTGGAAGTGTTACTCATACATTTCCAGCAGGGATGGTGATGTTGCAAGGAGTGGAGAATTTTATAAGGCACAATCAAATATTAGGTCAGGGCTGCGGAATGAACAGAACAAGGAGCATATGGGGCTCAGGACTTTGTTCCACTAGCTGGGCCTGGTAGCACTTCTCTGTCGGAGATCTGAACAGCTGGTGGAAGTCGGTAGTGCAGGGATGCAGAGTCTGCTGCAAGACTTCTCACCTTATCTCTTGCTATCTCTGATCTTGGTGACAGGTACTGCTAGATGAATTAATGCAATGAGATCACACTTGTGTCCACAGAAAGGGTGGGACTGCCAGAGGGTAAACTTCATTCAAAGTACGGTGATTTATCGGTCTCTTACGTGGTGAAACACTGGGACTTTTTAAAAACAAATAAGTGCAACCCAAAAATATTTTCACAGTACGCTGTAGTAAACTCTTAGGGAAGACTGCAGGGGCTTGGTTTTGACTTGCTCAGAGTGAGAAGATGAATCTGCTCAGTTCCTCCTCTCCCCACACCCCCCAAATAAAAATCTTTGAAATGGCAGAGCACAAGCATCTGACATCTAGACACTTGTGAAAGTCCTTGAAACCATTTTTCAAGAGATAAAGGTGAAGAGGAGGTGTACTGGGAACAAAACTTTGGTTTGATAGAGCTGGTTTATGCTTTCAGGGAGCGTGTGAAGGCTATAGCCTGGCAGCAAACGTAAGAGGTTCTTTTCCTGCTAAACTGAAACAAGACTTTCCTTTGGGGAAGAACTGTTTGGGTCACAAAGGCTTGGATTTATAAGTAGGAGTTAGTCAAGCTTTTAGTTGCTTGTGCTGAATTGTAGTGATGTGTGGACCTTGAATAAATACTTGCATGCAAAGCATGAGATTAACATTAAATTGTTCTTTGCATGGAGTGGTAGTGCAAGAGAGCCCACGTGCTGGCACCACAGTGTTTCCTGTCATTGGAATATCTGTTAAGGGCAGATAATAGTGCATTAATCACAAACAGAGCATCATTTCCTGCACGTGGAGACTGGAGCGGTGGAGTTTTATATGTTGGACTCTAAATTTCAGCTGCAGTGGATGGAGATAGATGGAGATGTAATAAAAAGGTTAGAGCCTAAAGAGGTACAAAGAGCGAGGGGAAACTTATTTGAAGACTAAAAATACATTTTTGAAAAGTCATTGTTAAATTATCTGAAGCTAACGAGAACCGGTGTGTTTCAGTCTTCCATGCCCTTGCTGGAAAAGGTGAAAGATATTGTTCATTTTTATGGTCAGTTAGTTTTGGGTATTCTTGGCTGTTTGAGAAGCAGACTTGAGCCTTCAGAGTCACTTGGCGAGCTGGCTGCAGTGCCTGGTGGGCAGTCCTCTGTGAAGGAACCCACAAAAGTCCATAGGTGAGTGAGGAGCAGGCACCCATACTGAACATATTAGGCGTTTTCTTTCAGAATTTTTTGGAATAAGTTAGTTTGCAAACTTGTTTTTGCTGTAGAACAAGCTTTAATTATTTTGACTTGTTCCCACTATGTGTCCCAAACAACTGTTCTAGGAAATGTTGCTTTGAATAATGAGGCTGAGTTACTCCTTCACCAGTGTGTTAAGCCTCCAACCCACAACTGGTCTATCAGTAATGAGCCATGGCTTTTTTGTAGAAACACGAGTAGGCAGAGACACGAGTGCATCGGTAGGTGAAAGCCTTCCAGTACAAAATAAGGGGTAGTGTAAGAATTTGACTCAGTTGCTCATCAAATGTGATCTTCTTTCTCTTTCAAGAGCCAAGGATGAAGCGGCGAGCATCAGACAGAGGAGCTGGGGAAACATCCACTAAGGCAAAAGCTCTTTGTACAGGGATTTCTGGAAATAATGCCAAGAGAGCGGGCCCTTTTATACTAGGTAAGCAGGGAGGGGCTTCTTCGCTTCTCAAGGGAGCTACTGATTGCAGAACTGAAAATAAAAGGCACTATAGAACGAGGCAAGGCTGATGTGTAATGTGGCATCTTAGCTCAGAGTGCAATTCCCTTGATGGAGCAGAGCAGCAGCCTTGGAGCTTCTGCAGCTAGTCAGCCCGAGGAGATCTGCAATACTAATACAGCAAGGCAGACATGGCTTTTAAGATAAATATGAGCCATTTAAAGAGCAAATTCGTTTGCGGGGCTTTTTGGTTAGAGCTCCGGGGAGACGTTCAGCCCTGCTTGCCTGGAATATGCTGTCAAATCAACTTGTAGGCAACTCAATGCACTAGTGGTCATGTGCCACGGCAAGACCACTCTGCTAGCTTTCGAGAGTTGCTGGAATAGTTGTTAGTTCAGAAATAGTTATATAAACTGTTAAAACCATGATGGACTTCCCAGGGGAAACCAATGGATAATCAGTTGGAAGCTGACTGATTCGAACTGGAGAGTGGAGCCTGTATGTTACCTTGAAATTTGGACTAATCTGCGTACCTGAGCCATCCCTGCAGAGGTGGCAGCTGGGTTCAGAGGTGTGGTAATAGCAGTTGCCATGGGTGTTGCTGGTAAATGTGAAAGCCGTATGTATGGTTCAGGCATGCAGAAATTTGAATTTCTGAAACCAGCTGTGCCATGTGTGGGCTTTTCTTGAATATTTCTCCAGTGAACAAATGAAACCTTGTCCAAAAAGATTTCAGAGTTCAATACTGCTTTTTTTTCTTTAGATCATAATTTGTGGAAATGCACTTAGTCTCCTGAAAAAAAAGGAACTTAGTTTAAACAAATGTAAACTGTGTGACACTCGCATACTGATGTAACCTCGAATTAGTCATTGCTGCTTAAAGAAAAACAAGTCTGTTTTTGCTTTGTGCTGTTAGGTCCACGTTTAGGTAACTCCCCTGTGCCAAGTATTGTTCAGTGTTTGGCAAGAAAGGATGGGACAGATGACTTCTATCAGCTCAAGGTAAGCAAACTGCAGGGCTTCCAGGTCTTCAGGGCCCTTTCATCTCTTGTGGCAGAAGCACTTGCAGTAGTGTGCGGTGTAGGCTGAACCGGTGCACCGTCAGAAACGGCTGCTGGAACTTCCCCTCGGCGGGGCAGTTCTGCCAGGCGTAGATCTGGTGTTGAGATTAGCCCCGAGATGAGGCCGCTGTGGCTGCTGTGCTGCTCTCCTGGAGCCCTCTGATCTGCTCTGCTGTGCCTAAAATGGGCGTGGATCCAGTGGGAAAAATGATTTGGGATATTTGCAAAAAGCCACCTGAGCAGCTTTTCTGTGTTTATCAAGCTCATGCTATGCGTTCTGCACAGACGGTAGTTCAGACAGGTTTGTGGCAAGTATGCAACCATCAGAGCAATTACATCAGCTGTTAAACACACGCAAATATCTAAAATGAGAGAGGTTTGTGGGCATTTGTTTTTTTCTGGGAACTGTAAAGGTCTTTTCCCTTTTCCTGAAGATTCTAACCTTAGAAGAAAGGGGTGATAAAGGAATAGAAACCCAGGAGGAGCGACAGGGCAAGATGCTGCTGCACACAGAGTATTCTCTCCTTTCCCTGCTCCACAACCAGGAAGGAGTGGTTCATCATCACGGGCTCTTTCAGGTACAGCTGGTCACCATCCAGGTTGGGGGAATGCCAGTAACTGCTGTTGGCTTGAGCTGCTTTTGTTTAATGTACGGTTCGTGCTGACCCCGTTCTTGTGCGTAAAGAATTCCCGGCACAACGCTGAGATTAACCACTGCTGCTTCAAACAAGCAAGTCTGTGGCAGGGGCTTCTGAGAGTTAAGTGGGATGTGATGGGGTTTGGGATATGGGAAACGTGAGAACGTTCAAAGATGGGTCAGGCGCTCAGTAGCGTCCCCTTCAAATAGGAAAACGGCTGCTTTGCTGGCAAATTAATTTGTGCCCATAGAGCACCCTTTAGAACTGAACTTGTGCTTTCTAGTCTCCGTGCTGTTTTACAATGACTTGTAAGAGGGGACAAATTGCCAAGGAACTGTTTCAGCGAGTTAAACTAGTCAATGTGCTGCTGGATGTCTCGTATGAGTGAGTTGTGTTGCTGTTAGCACCTGCGGAGCTGTATATGGATGTGATGGGCTGATAGGAATTACTGGTGTGGCTGTTGGTGTTGCCTTGCTTGCTGGTTAAACTTTGTCAACAGACTTTTCACTTGAAGCCATCTGTAGTATATCTTAAATAAGCCAAAGGTCCAGCTCAGCTGTGTCCTGTTTAATGTTATGGAAGAGCTGCTAATTGTGTCTTAAGAGTTCTGTTCTTCTCATTAATAACGACTTGGATCCTTAGTATTCACAGAGTCTGTACCACTGGAGAGTTTTTCTAGGCTTTATCTAAAGGTGTCTGTGTGTGAGCAGTATCAGTGCTGATGTACACCTACAGCTGAACAGCATAGGCTTTTTCTGGCATCCTAAGTAGACATCATGTATCTTCTTTTTGAAATCCCAACTCAGGGCAAAGGTCAAGTGCTGTGATTGCATTTGCTTATTTTGAGATCACCATGTAGTTACTTATTCTCTAGCACTCTGTATGTGAGTACCTGTGCCCACACAGCTTCCCTGAACTATTGCTCACTTGTTTGCCTCCCTGTAGGACCGAGCCTGTGAAATTATAGAAGACCTAGAAGCCAACAGAATGGTCAGAAAAATGAAGAAGCGCATTTGTCTTGTGTTAGACTGTCTCTGTGCTCATGATTTCAGTGACAAAACAGCAGATCTGATCAATCTGCAGCATTATGTCATTAAAGAGAAGAGACTCAGTGAGCGGGAGACGGTAGTGATATTTTATGATGTGGTACGAGTGGTAGAAGCATTACATAAGGTAAGATTTTGTTATCCCTTTCGGTGCTGGAAGGCTTAGTTTTCCCACGTTAGTACAATAGATGTTTTAAAACTTCCTTGTGCAGGCAGTGGCAAGGTTACAGAGGATGGATGTTTCAGCTGTTTCCCTGTAACAGGGTTCTGCGTAAGACCTCATGCCCCAAGCCATAAAAGAGCATTCCCTTCCCCTCCAGTTTGTTGATGATAACGTAGCATGTGTTGACTGTGGAGAGGGGCCAGCTGGACTCAGGTGAACTACAGCGTTACTAACCTCAGAAAGGGGTGGTCAAAGAGGAGAGCAGAGGCTGATCAAATGCAGGAAACACTTCAAGCTATTTCCTTTTGAAGCAAAGTAAATCACAATGTGAGAATTGGTTTCTGAGATCAGAACCTCAAGCTACAAGTTCGAGATCAGTGAACTAGAAATTATTGTAAGAAAAATAGATTCTGCCAATGTTTCACTTCTTACCCTGTGACAAGGGACACCCACCCTTCCTTGACAGAGCAGTGAAGCATATATCTGTGGAGGGAGTGCTCATCATGTTGGTCTTACTGAGCCTGGACACTGAAGTTTCAGGTCTCTTAGTTTCGTTCAAGTCTGTCTTCAAAGTAGCAAATTTGCTTGTTCTGTCCTTCTGACCAGAATCGAAAATGAAGCACACAAAGTACCCAGGATGCAGCCTGACTTGAAACCTTGATCTGGGTTATTTCTGAGACTGGAGATGACAGGATTTCAATAGATACTTCGTGCTTTTGTCCAAGTATCGCATTTATACGTCTGTAACAGATATACTTTTGCTCATGTTATACTATTACATATTTTACAGAAAAATATTGTGCACAGAGACTTGAAACTAGGAAACATGGTGCTAAACAAAAGGTAAGTCTGCCGGAGAGCTGCAGTTGCCTCGTGTTTCTTCCCTGAAGCAGGTTTCCATTAGAAACACAATCGAAGGCTATTGTTAAGAGTGCTTTTGTGTGAGAAGGGCGAGGGAAATGGAAGCAGGACGCGCAAAAACACAAATCCAGTTCAAAGTTACGTAATTGAGCCCAACCTAGATAGTTCACTCTTCCACCAGGCTTAGTGACCCCATGCCATTACTTCATTTTGTATTCAAACTTCTGAAAACTAAATTTTATAGTAATTCAGAAACCTGCAAGAGAAATACTTATATATATTAAAAAATAAATAATTAAAATGTGGTAGGTTCACATGATTCCCTTTCCATCGTTCCATAATTCCCAACTCTGCAGTCTGCACTATAATCACGGCAGCGTTAAGTCTTTGACTATTGCACTGCTGTGGTTTTGCTAGCAGTAAAATATTTACTTATCTAAACAAGAGTTCTTCTGTCTAGTCTGTATTTGTGCTTGAAATAGCTTCCTTGTTCCCATTAGCTGGTTTGATGCAAGTTTATAATGCCCTGATGTCCAACGTGCCTCGGAGGCTGTGCCGACACAGGAGGGACCAGTCTTCCCGGAGCAGAGCGAGCAGCCTCAGTGGGGCCTGAGCTCAGCACGAGTGAGAGGCAGCTGGTGGTAGCGTGCGCTCTGCTTGGTGGCTCCTCGGGGGTTTTTGGTTGTCTGGGGTTATGTAGTTAGTTAGCTGGCGAGCTGGTTCAGTTCAGATGCTCCGCTGTGTCCTTCGGTATTACGTTACTGGCTAAATATTTTGCACTGACTTTAAGAATGAATGGAATTCATTGTCTTTTCATACTGTCTGGTTTTCTGTGAAATGAGTAGAAAAAACTGGAAGGCTTTAGGTCTGCAGGCTTCCAGAGTCTGTACAAGGCGTGCAGGTTCACTGTGGTCACAGCTTGCTCTTTTCTCCTCCCTAATGCTGTTGAAATACTGCTTGAAAGCAAACAGATTTTACCTGCTGAGGCTGAACTTCTTGGTTCCCCCCTGCATGCAGCAGCTAGGGGTTTTCAGGGCCACCTGTAAGTTGTTTTAAGTCATTTCTAAAGAGCTGCTTCAAGATAAATTTCTTATCTTCTGCTTGCTGCTTTAATTCTCCTTCCTGCTAGGGAGAGGCAGACAAAGGTTGCTGCTTTAAAGGATCCACCTAGAGCTTCTCTTCTCTGGGTAAAGTGTGCATTGGAGCATCCCACTGACAGCTGCACACAGGGGCCCCCACGAGCAGGAACGGGGAGGCATTTGAAGCTTTGTGAACACCCTTGCCAAAGTCACTTTTTGTATTACATGCTGTGTTTTTGCTTTTACTAGCAAGACCATCAGCTTGGTGAGGAAAAACAGCCTCTACAGAGTGAGTCATGTGCAAGGGGTGGGTGAGGCATAAGAATAGATCACCATGGAGAGGACCAGCCATTTGGGCTGATCAGAAATGTTTGTTCTGTTCCAGCCATGCTCACAAAACAGCCAGGTCTTTTCTGTGGGTGGGGAGTGAAGGTAGCTACATATCGCTGCGAAATCCTAACCAGGCATGTTACACCCCGGGCTAATGAAGGTCCCTCAGACGTTGTCCCCTGCGAGATGTGGAGGTTAAAGCCTCGCAAGGTTTCCAGTTAGCCAGTGCAGTAGTTGGATGATTACAGATTAGATCAAGTTTCAGTGACTAAATAAACCCAAGCAACTCTGAACACTTTAGTATCCTTTAGAACACTCTGTCTCTTAAATCTTTAACAAATCCTGCAGATTGTTATTCACCCAGGGAAGTCTCTTGACAGTTGAAGCTAACACTTCTTAAACACAAGTCTGTCTGTCTTAATAATCAACTCTCCGTTGCCAGCCCACACTTGGGTTTTTTTCACTTGTCTGTTAGATTTGCTGGAAATACTTTTTGATTATTTTGACTGAGTTAATTCATGCTCTCAGGCTCTAGTTGTGTAATAACTTTTCAAGAATATAGGAATTTTCTAGACAGTGTTTTTCTGTTCGGTCCTTTAAGTTGGATGTTAAAATCCAAATTATCTGAGTGACGTGGAAGATGAAAAGCCGTAGTAATTTTGTGACGAGCTCACTTTCCCTGGAAAAATTCATTAATTGGAGCTGGCAGTACCACAGGGAAGTAGTGGTATCTTACTGCAGAAGCTGCGTGTACACCTGCAGTTCTCATTTTTTCTGAAGTACTTCAATGTGGGAGGTTTTTTTGATGTTGATTAGACTTTCTCTGTTCTGCATACTTTCATGTGAAGAACAGTCCTGCAGATCAGGTAAAACTGCCACCAGGCTCTTGCTGTGGGATTGTTGGGTAACACAAAAGTGGTTAAACTGAAGCTGATCAAAGGTCCTGTAGCTCATCTGCTGGCGATGCGTAAGCAAACAGCGTACAGAGGCCAGTCATGGGGCTGTCCTTCTGCAGGGTGTTTTCCCTCAGCTTCCAGAACACGTTGTGTGGAGAAGATGCCTTTAGAAATGGTAGTTGGGAAGCGTAGGGGGGAATCAGCTGCTAAAATAAACTTCTGCTTTCTTCATGCTCACGCCCTACAATGGTCAGTAAGCATGAAAGTGCAGATCCTGGTGCTGGTGATGCCTGCAGGGTGCTGTGCTGCTGGCTAAGGTGCTTTGCTCCAGGGAGGCTGGCCAAAAGGCAGCTGCGTGGCTGCAAGGTGGGCAGGTTAGGTGAGCACCCTGTGCTTGCAGCCACGCTTACACGTGCCACTCGGGTTGGATGTAGACGTTGTCCATAGTTGTAAAAGAGATTCTCTTATTCCCCCTGTAAGAGTCTTGCAAGCTATGCTGGCAGCTGTGGAATCCCTCCCCTTCGGGATGGAGTTGATCTTACAGCTCTGCTTGACTTTTCCCAGCACCTGAAGCTTCCCAAAAAGCCCCGTAGACACACACATCTGCTTTGGTGCTGACTTCCTCTGTTGGTGCTATTCGGCTCATGCAGGATGGTCCTTGTTCACTGATGCCTTCTGATTCTCCCCAGGACTCATCGAATAACCATAACCAACTTCTGTCTCGGAAAGCACCTGGTGAGTGAAGATGACCTGCTGAAAGACCAGCGAGGGAGCCCTGCCTACATCAGCCCGGATGTGCTTAGCGGTAGGCAGCCCCCTTCGGTCCTCAGTGGGAGCTCCCAGCCCCCACGCCTGGCACTCGCTTCGTTTGTTTGTGACTCTTGACAGTAAATGAAAACCACCTAGTTCTGTTCCCATATGTGTCCTGCCTTCTGTGAGAGCCTCTTAATTAGGGTCCAGTTATGAGACTTGGTCTGTTTTTCCGACTGGGAAAGTACGGAGAGAAGGAGCGAGTGTAACTTTTTTTCTTAAGGCTAGTCTGGACTTCAAAGCTAATTAAAAGCTCCCTGCCTGTTCTTAAACAAGTCTGACTGCAGACAAGATGTTCCGTTTCCCATGTCTGAATCTTGTTCCTGAGGCTTCCCTTAAGCTGCAGGTAAATCCCCAGGCCTAAGAGGCAATTGGTCCAAATCCCACCGTAATGTCAGCTTATTCCAGGCAGTACACTAAGAGGAACAGTTGCTGCAGCTGCTGCTTGCTCCCAGAAGGGAACAGTTGACCCTCTGGGCAGCTTCTGGGCCGACTGAGAGGAGTTGCTTAAAAATAAAGGAATGATCACACCAGGCCAGACCACCAGTCTGTTCAGGCTGTATCCTGTCTCCAGCGGAGGCCTTAAGCAGAAGTCTGGCAAAGAACAGCTTTCCCCAATGTCCTCCTGCCTCTTAACTGTTCCCAGTGCATGGGACTTTCCAGAACAGATGTGGTTTCTATCTGTCTAGTTGCTTCAGGAGGTTTCTCTTCAACGAACTGGCTGTTGCTGTGCTAGCTTTTGTGCTGGCCATAGCTGAGCAGGCGGGGGTTGTCCTGTTTGTTAGGGCAGTGACTGAGGCATCATTTTGGGGTTGGTTTTGGAGGGTGGGTTTTTTTTTTTTTTGCTTTCAACCAGATGAGCTTGACTAGGGTGTTGGAAAGTGCATTTACAGTTGGGACTGTGCATCTGAAGTAGCTCTAAGTCTATGTGGACTCCAGTGTCCGTGCATTAGCTGATGTGGAGCGCTCCTTGTGAGCACAGATACGATTCCCTTTGGAATTCCCTCCACAGTCCAAGATCACCCCTAATGCATCCCACCTGCTGAGGGCTATCCATCCGCAGGGCTGAGCTAGCATTTGGATGATGAGAGACTGCCTGAAACTGTGGACAGTAGGTTGTCGGCAACAACGGTGTTTTGGACAAGGCGGCAGTACCACTCGCTGGTGTGCGTCTAGCCAGTGCGAAAGCCAGAGTCCTTGGCAGTCTATCACATTTGTTTATTCCAGGGTAACTTCTAGAATACTGAAAACACCTCTGCTGAGGATTCAAGTTACTCGTTTATGGTATCCCAAGCTACGGTATTTCAGAAATGCCCTCAGAGGGAGCTAGCCTTGAAATTTCCAGACCCGGTGGACTCCCCTCAGTAAGTTTGTTGTCAGGTTTACAGGCAGCAGCAGTAAATGTAGCTGAGCTCTTCCGTCGTGATCTGCCAGGCAGGTTTGAGGCTGCTTCCCTCCTGGGCAGGACTAAGCCAGGAAGGGAGCAGAGGCAGGCGGGGAGGTGTGTTGGTTTTTTTTTGCAGGCCTTTCCTGTTCTGCAGGATATCCTGAGGCCCCTGTAACCAGATGGATGATATGAGCCAACTGCTCTGCAGGAGTTTGGAGCAGTTGCAGCTCAAGTGGCTGGTAAAGGCTGCATGGAGCTGCTCCTTCCCCTCCTCCGGGGTACTGTTCCATCCTGGGCTTCAGCCCTGTCACCCTCCCTGCCCGCGCAGCTGGGCTGCAAGCACCCGTGTGTCTTCTACCGGCTCTCGTGGGTTGACTGGCCTGTCTGTAGGCCACGCACCGCGAGGTGCTGAACAGGCTGTCTCTGCCGACTCCTGACAGCTGAGGCTGTTCAAGGCCCTGCAAGGCGCAGCCTTAGTTACAGGACTGCACCCTGCCGTGGCACCGCCTGGCCTGGCCTTCGGGTGCCACCGCACTGCACCCTGGCTCTGATGTCTCTGCCAACAGCCCTTCCCCGCAGGGCGTCTGTGCAGCC